TTGAAAATTGCAAAGAATTACAAGTTAATAAAAGATGCACCGTAAAGGAAAAAAACAACCATCAGAGTTGAGGAGGTGTGGACATGCAACTAACCTATCATCTAGCCACTTAAACATAAAAAACTAGAGCACTGGAAATGAGAACTCGTTTGGAATTTTTTATTTTGTTTATTTTTAATTTTCTTTTAACTTTTTATGAGGTAAAAAAATTAAAGATAAATTACACTTACCTCCTCTAAAATTTCAAATAATTACTAGGGATGACAATTTGATCCCGACCAGATGGGGACCCAATCCCGATTAGAATGGGTTTTTTCCGAAAATTACTTCCCATGAGGCCGGGAATGGTATTGAAAATTGAATTCCTAATGGTTTTTGAGCCGGGGACAGGGATAGGTTCCCCTGGCCCCGCCTCGAGTAAACCCCGAACATCCCCGTATATATCATATATTTCTAAATCTCGTTTTCAGCCCCTCCCACTTGCATACACCGTTGAATCCCTCATTTCTCTCTCTCTTTCTCTCTTTTTCACCGCCGATCTTCTTCACTCGCCACTCTCTCCTCCATCGCTGATCTTCTTCACTCGCTACCAATCTCCTTTCTCTCAACGTCTCTCTCTCTCTCTCTCTCTCTCTTCTCCACCTCCGATCTTCTTCACTCGCCACTCTCTTCTCCATCATTGATCTTCTTCACTCGCCACCAATCTCCTTTCTTTCAGCGTCTCTCTCTCTCTCTCTCTTTCTCTCCCCCCTTCACTCCGCCAATCTACTTTTTACTCTATCACCGTCATCTCCAAAGGTGATCCTGCCACCACTGTCGTCGCACACTATTGCAGTGACGTGACTCACCGATCACCAACTTCATTCGCGTCTATTCTATGGTTTTTTTGAACAGATCTATGATATTTTTTGAAAAATCTTAATCAATTTAAATATATATAGATGTAGATCTGATTTTTTTGTTAAGATATTATTGTTAGGGTTTTACCTGTTCAACATATCTACATTTTTTCTTTTATGGTTTCAACAGATCTGTGGTTTTTTTGAACAGATCTATGATTTTTTTTTTTAAAATCTTGATCAATATATATATGATCTGATTTATCTGCTGCCGCCTGTCTCTCTACTTTCTCTTTTCTCTCTCCTTTCTGCTCTTCATTTTCTTCGTTGATTTTTGTTGTTTTTGTATAGGGATTGTTCGGGGTCGGAGAAACCTGATCCCCATTAAGGGGCTGGAACGAGGAATTTTATAGCTTCAAGGATCGGGGACGGGGAGTGTAGTCCCCCACCACGCCTCGTTGCCATTCCGAATAATTACAATTACCTTTCCCATGGTTTAATAATTACACTAACCTTCTTTATTTTTGAAACTATTATTAGATTCCTCCACTTTTATGTTATTTAACAGAATTTACTGATATCATACTAATGTCATATCAAAAATGATGAAATTGCCCACTAATTACTTTTATCTATTGAAATGGGAAATTTTACTCGTCTCCCTTGAGATTTTGCATATATATTATCAAGAAATCATACATATTTTATCATTGTTTAATAAAATTCTTAAATTTCATGCAATACTAAATAAAATATTTAAATTTTTAAGACATTATTAAATCATTTAATCTAAAAAAAATTAATTTTTATTGATAAAATATTTAAAAATAAATAACCTCTCTAAAATTAATGTTAGATAATATCCTAGTAATTTAATATAATACTTATTCCACACTAAATAAATAACCTAAAATTTGTTATTTTAAGAAATGCATTTATAATTTGATTTTTTTAAAGTTAAAATAAATAGATTTATTTTTTCCCAGCAATTTGCATTACTTATTTATTGATATGTAAAAAAAATATATTATTTAATCTTTTCTTAATCATATATTATTCTCAAATTTTAATTTTTATCTTTGAATCATTAAATTTCTAATCGATGCATATTTTTTTTTAAAAAAAATAGGTTAATATTTTTTACATGATTAAAAATATTAAAAAATAAAAATTGAAGTAAAAAAATTTAATCACCTCACAATAAAGTAAAATTAGTTTATAGGAAATGAAAGATTAAGAAATCATCTGAGAATAATAAAAAAATTCAAACAGTTTGCTATTTCCTATACCTAAAATTAAAATTAGTATTAGAGGTTGATTTCTCAGTATTGTCAATAAAATTATATGAGTATTAGATATACGGAATAAATAAAATTATATAATTTAAATAATAATACTTTGCTATAAATAATAACATAACAAAATAAAGGTGAGAAATTAAAAAATAAAGTAAAAATTTAACCATTAATGAAGGTGAGAAATTAATTTTAAGATTTAATTTAATAAAACTAGTTTAAATGAAAAAATAAATAAAGACGGAGAAATATATTTTAAGTATCATACAACAAATTAATTGAGCATTTTGGTATTCTAAAATAATTTCTCCATTCAAGTGAAGATTAATTTTATTTTTAGGTGTAAGAAATGAGAAATTGTTTGAATTGTTTATTATTCTCAAATGATTTCTTAATCTTTCATTTCCTATTAACTAATTTTAATTTATTGTGAGATGATTAGGTTTTTTTTTTTACTTCTATACTTATTTTTTAATTTTTTTAATCATATAAGAATAAGTTGTGTTTTTTTTAATATGCATCGACTAGAAATTTAATAACCCAAGGATAAAAATTGAAGTTTGTTAATAATATCTTAACAATTTAAGGATAAATAATTTTTTCTTACATACAAATAAATAAGTAGAACAAATTGTTGGGGAAAAAAATTAATCCATTTGTTTCAACTTAAAAAAAAAAAAGAAAAAAGAAAAAAAGAAAAAAAAGAAATTTAAATAATAAATGCATTAATTAAAATTAATAAATATTTTGTTATTTATATAGTGTGAAATAAGTCTTATAAGTATTGTATTAATTATTAGGGTCTTATATAAACCGGTGGTGTTATATGCACCAATTAGTGTACTAACTAGTGTACCAATTGATGATGTGGTATAATTTAAGAAATTTTTGGTATTTATAACTTGTATAATGAGTGAGATCAGTACACTAATTAGTGCATACAGTATTATTCTATATAAACTATTAGGCAATGAAGTTAAACTATGCATGAATCTTTAATAATATTTATGTAACGACATTTGTGCTAAATTATCAGATTGGGAGAATCTTGATATTATCAGCAAAAGTAAAGAATGTTTCTATAATTATTGAAATCACAAGAAAAATCCTTGTATTTGTCAAAAATCTCAGAGAAGGCATGTGTAATTTACCCAAAAATTAATGTAGTTGAAATAAAAAAAATTTAAGCCTAGTTTGATATCACTTATAAGTTAATTTTTATAATTATAGTTTTTAAAATTATTAATTTAAAAGATTTAAAATAATATTGGCATAGCTTTTCATAACCTGTAAGAAAAAGTTGATTGTGTTTGGTTAAATTAGTTATCATATAACGTTTTTGTTGTACAAATATCTAAAATGTTCTCAAAAGTTATAATTAAGGCAAAAGAGATAAGGGCTCCCTTGTCCATATATATATAAAAAAAGAGAGAGTTTCAAATAAGCTAAAAAAGTTAAATAAATTGACTTATAAGTGTTATCAAATAGGACCTTAGTTTTATGAAGAAAAAAAACAAAGGACAAATTACACCGGTAGTCTCAATATTTCACTCCTTGTGTCATTTAAGTTCCTACACTTTCAATTGGCTTAATTTTGATATTTCATTTTAAATTTTGTTTTAATTTAATCCAATTAATAATATCGTTAGTATTTTTTTTAAAGAAAATTATCACTAAATTAGCTAAGGTTAAGTTTATAATTTAACCCTTAAAATATAGCATGAGACACTTATATGCATACTTTTCATAAAAAAATGTTAAGAGTTGTAATAATAGACCAAATCAAGATAAAATAATAAATTCACGGTCAAAATCGAACCAATTAAAAGTACAGAGACTAAAATGTCACAAGGAGTAAAATATAAAGACTACCATCATAATTTATCTCCCAAAAAAATACATGAATGACTGGGGTATATGATTAACTCTTTTTGGCAAGTTTTTGACTTTTTTAGTAATTTTTTAACAATCCCATTGCCACTGGCTGTCAATTTTGTATAAAAACACAAAAAAAAACTGCACTGAGAACCATAGAACATAAAATTGCCACCAAGAACCATAAGGACGCCAAAACTGCAGCAAGAGCCATAGAATACCAACACACCAGGAATCAAACAAAACCTGAAAGACAACAAAAGCAAAAACGAAAACACAAAAAAAACAAGGCAATTTAAGAATAGAAAGTTCCCGTGTAGCTATCCTCAATAATCCGCTCTTGTTTTGTTTTTTCGTAGTGTTGTTGTATTTAATGATTTTGACATCAGTTTGCAGCGTCATGACCCTTACACTAGGAGGTTTCTCACAAAACCCTAAAACTATCCTCAGATCCACTATCCTGAACGGCTGCCATTCTTTTTCTTCAATGTTAGATGGCGTAATAAATAGTCAAAACAATTTTGCTATTAATCCCCCTTGGAATTTTTAAGTCTATCTTCTGAAAAAAATATATAAAAAAAAGCTTCAACTATTGTTTGCTCATCTATGTAATTCTCATATTTCTTCATCACCTATTCATTTTCAATCCCCCTATATGGAAATCATATGTAAACCTTGCATAATAACATAGTGAAAAGAAAGGTAAAACACTAAACATGCAAGCTATGTTTGGTACTTGAACTAGATTTTTTTAGTACTGTTTAGGATTGATAATACTATGTGATTAAATCAAGATTAGCATTAAACAAAATAGAAGATGGAATTGTATGCCATAGGAGTAGATGTACTGTAGAATATAGTATACTATAAGAGGAAAAATAAAAATAAAAAAGAAGAAAAAAACTATTAGGGGGGCAATAAAAAAAATAGATGAGGCCCATATGAGCTCCCGCAATATTTACCAATCTCAATCCTCCAAACCATGTATCAATCAAGGTAGACCATTGCAACATAAATGATTCAACTCCAAATAATTAATTATCTTACAAGTACACAGATATGTATTACAAATCAACCTTGAAGTTCAAGAATAGGATTTAGATAGGTATATCTTCAAGCCATCATCAAAATTCTTCTTGAATTTTACTTGCATTATATTATCCTACAAGGGTCATTACGTGCACCATTGGGTTCAACCCCTCTTGATATGTGGCACGGTTTAATTCAATCCATTTCATGCTGTAAAGGGTAGCCTAGCTTGTATGCTAGCCCAGAAAACTAGGTCAACATAGAAGGACAAGAGAGCATTTCACGAAGGTGAATAACAAATACATGAAAAGCTTACCATGGGGACCCAACACCGTCACTGCTCATAAGCTTCAATAGAATGAAAACAAGGTGAACTTTTCAGAGCAATTAACATGATACTATGAACTGGGCATGGTTGCTTCAAGTAAAATACTTGAGATGAAAAAATACCTCAGTGATCTATGAATTTCTCTGACTTCAATCTCAAAATTTCCATTGATTCAAACAGGGGCTTTGCATTGCGTTGTTAATTGGTTATTTCTTATCCTTAATATAGTTGAACAATTTGTCGTGAATTACTGCTGAAAAGATACCCTGAATCGTCAACAAACTTATGAACTCCTCTGCTCGGTCCATGTCTCCCTGCCCTTCCAAGTATTCCAAACAGGACACCAAGGCATCCTTGTTGGGGTTTGAACTAGGCGAATCTACTACGATTGCTCTTCCACTGCTTTTGGAACTTGATCGTGTTCAAGATACCCACCAGCTAAATAACACCATGTACTAACCAAAGGATTACCCCCTTTTTCTATTCCCTTGTTTAAAAGGGCTTCAGCCTTCCCCAAAAGACCATTTCTGCAATAAGCATCAATTAAGAAGTTTGGAATATGGAAATCATAGGATAAACCTCTTGATTCCCACTCCTCAAAAATCTTCTCAGCACCTTCAATGTCATTGAAGTTCAATAGCGAGCTCAGCATGCTTATATAGCCCTTGTTGTATATTTTCTCCTTTTCCTTGTACAGATTCCAGATCCGGTACAACTCATCTTTCTTGCCTGCTTCTGCATATAGTTTGAGGAGAACATTAAATGCAACACATATCCTTTTTGTGGTGGTTGTTAATCCCTCCAATTTCTTCAGCATTTCCAAAGCCTTGTCTAGGAGCCCAACTTTCAAGTACCCATTTGCAGCAACACCATAAGTGTTACAGTCCAAAATGATTCGAGGATCAGATTCCATCTTTGTCATGATATTATCGATTCCCTCACTGTCAGAAGTGGCAGCATATGCACTTAAGCGGATTGTGAGCGTATAGTTGTCATAACAAATGCCCTTCTTTTCCATTTCATGCATCAAGGCATCCAGTTTTTCTTTGCTTCCCGTTTGATAATAGAGATTCATCAAAATATTGTAACTTAATGGTGTCTTAGCACACCCCATATCCCTTAACTTTTGCATGACAGACTCTGCTTTGTCAATGGATTTTTTGTGGGCATAGCAGTTGAGAAGAGCAGTATACACCTCAAACTGTTTTAATTTTTGTGGGATATTATTGAAATAATTCTCTACTTGTTCTAGGCCATAAACTCGTAAGATCAAATTCAGCCGGATGGTAACATCAACAATTGAAAGGGGAATATACCTTTTGTCACTCATCCATTCAGATATCTGAGAAAAAAGATTAGATATGAATTTGGTGCCTGAAATTATGACATTACAGGAATATGAATGAGATGATATGAAATTTATGCTTGCAATATATATATATATATACATATATACAAGAAAAGATTATATTAAAAGAGGCACCAAGTGGGTGCAACCCATGTGCGAAATAAAGACAGGCCTAGGTTTAAGAACCGGTCAACCGTGCCTAAGAACCAACTATACAAAAAAGATACTAATCAGGTGTTCAATAAAAAAATAGGTCTTTTTGTCCATCCAACTATAATTGCTATATTTCTCTTTTCTCCAGAAAATTAAATTCAGCGTTAAAGGGACAGGAAACCAGCTATTTGTGGACTAAATCATTTGACTTAATACACTAAATCCCTTTTGACTAAACAACCTTGAGAAGTCCTTCAAATCATACAATCACAACATCTTCATTGTCCTCCTCCATCATCTCTAGACTCCACCTACATATATATTTATTGAGAAACAAATTGAGTGCAAGAATGAGAAAATTGAAAGTAATTATTCTCCTCCCAACCACCGCCTCCCTCCTCACTCACCTCTCCCACCACCACCAACCTCCTTCCCTCAACCACCTTCCTCCTCCCCCACCTCCTAACCACAACCATGACTTCCTTCCCAACACACCATTAGCATAGGTGTATATGTGCATATACATATATAGAATTTGAATCTACATTTTTAATTTCTTTAATTATTACTATTATTTTTTAAAATGAGATTACTCTGTGTACACTTTAATTTTTATACATTAAAATTGGTGGTAATTTGTATAGTGGAGGTGGTATTTTCTATTTACAGAGGAAGAGTTAATTGTGTAGTTTAGTCCAAAAGCACATGTGGGTAAAATGGACTTTGCCCATTTTTTATGAATTTCGTTGCCAAAAAAACAAAGTTAATTTTACGGTTCTCATATTTTTTAATTCAAAACCGAACCAAACCGCATGATTCGGTCTGATTTGGTCCGAATTACCGGTTTGAACGGATTTTTGAACAGTCCTATTAAAAATTTTGATGGATCTCTAAGGTCTCGTTTGGCAAGTGATTTTTTTAGTCAAAAAGTTAAAAAGTCACTAAAAAAATTAAAAAGTCAACAATTTAAATTAAAATGTTAAAGATTCTCTTTTCTCTCTACTTTTTTGCACATCTTTTTATAAAAAACTAAAATATCATCCCAATACATACTAATTTTTTTAACTCATATTTTAATCAAATAGTCAAAAAATTACTAAATTAACTTATTCTCCAACTAGACCTAATCAAATGACATTTGCATAATTCCTCTAAAAGACAAAACTTATACCAAATAAAGTAAAAAAATCAATAAGGAAGCCACTAGAAAGGAAACTATGAAACTATTGGTTAGAAATGAGTTTTGAAAATTTTGAAAAAATAGAGGCTCCGTTTGGTAAAGTTTTCAAAATATAATTCCACACTCACTTGTGAGTGTGATGTTTGTTTAGCGTTTTTAAAAGTTAATTCCACACTGACTTTTAAAAACTCTTTCCAAGGCGGAAAAATTTAGGCTAATCAGACGTCCCACCAGTTGATCGGAATAATGTTCATTTTTTATGTACTCGTTATTTTTATATTATAAAAAAAATATTTGCGACTTTTTTTAAAAATTTTTTTATGAGCTTTGAATAGAATTTTGGATTGTGTGTTTGGTTATGAGTTGTAAGTTTTTATATCAAATATCATATGCCACATTACTCAATTTAAAACTTTTTTCAAAACTCATAATTCTAAAACTCACAAACTCAAAATACAACTCTATTCTCGAATCATAATTCTAAAACTCTACCAAACACTACTAGAATTTTTTTTTCAATTTTGGTCTAAATTTTAGATGGGATCCATGTGCCAAAGTTGGCGGGTTTAAGTGGTAACGAGTTCTATGCCGCGTTGTGATTCATGTAGTATATTTGGTTGCTCAAAACCATTATCAGATGAATAAGAAATTGAAACCAAAGTGAGCTCTATGAAAATTGAGTTTTTGGTGGAAATTCCTTAAGGTTTGGTTTAAAGCTTATCCCACATTGATTTGGTGGGGCAAACTTTGAGTGGGTTTATAAGGCTTGAGTTTGGAACTTGGGGTAGGCCCCAAAGGACACCGAAGTTTTGTAGAGAGGGAGGTGATGAGCAAAGTGGGCTAGACCCATTGGACCAAAAATAAACACGCGCATCGCCGCTCGTCTGGGCAGACGGGCTGGGCTAGGCCTAGGCGCAGGTATGAGGTTGGGTTGGGCTTGTCCGACCCAATACTTATCTTTTTGGGCCAAAAACATTTGCATTTATTTTATTTATTTAGAAATAAAATCTGTCTGTTTTTTTTATTTCAAATTCTGGTTGGAAATAAAATTCAAATTTTGGTTTGCATCTCTTCAGAAATTCTGTACAGTTTCGTATCTATCCAAACCGAGTTTGTTCAAATTTGAATCCACCCAAAACAGGTTTTTAACTGTTTGAAATTCAAACCAAACAGTGCCTTACCTGTTCAAATAGATTTGTATCTTTTTAATTTAAATTGAACAGGTACTGTACCTGTTTAATTCAAACCAAACAGCCACCACTCCACCTATATAAATAGGCAGTCCCTCATTTGGATTTTCACTCTAATTTTTGTACTTCTCTGCTGCCATTCATATCTGCATTTTGCTGCATTAATTCCATTAATTTTCTGTGAGAAAGAATATATACACTAAGTGTGTTCGTTGTACGAAAAATTTGTAGTGCTGCAATTTTTCGTTGATTGATCATTTTATCCTCAGAATAGACGTCTACAATATGAAAGCATCATGGAGAGGACAAATCTATCTTAAGGACACAGTGTTAAACACTGGATTTGATAAGAAAATTTTGTTTAATAAATTAATTTGGTAAATAATTAAATTACTTTTCTGTTTTATTATTTTTTCTGTTTCAGATTTTGATTTTGTTTTTGTAACAAAATAAAAATCCGTTTTAATTATTTTATTTTATTTACTAGTTTGATTTTTGTAATCAAACAAACTCTCTGCTTTCTTTTATTTCTTCTGTATTCCGTTTGTTGTTAAGTTCACAAACATAATTTATTTTTAAATACAGTGAACATTGTCCAACACTATTCAGACGCAAAGTTTGCAGTGTCAAGTAGAAGTCAATCATAAGAGTTCAACAATAAAACAAGTTTGGAATAAATCATAGGTTCCAACCATAGAGAGGGTAAACTACAATTATCACACCCAGGGACGGACGCAGGATTCTAATATCGGGAGGGGAGGCAAGTGTATATGCAATCAAAAAATTTGTAATGAGCGTGTGATATACAATATCAATTTCTACCCAAATATCACAAAAATATATAATTTGATGTTTCCATTCATCGTATATAATTACAAAATATCAAAATACAATTAGATATGTTCTAGTAAATCCATATTAATTTTTAAAAAAACAACTATTTGCTTTACATATCTACTTAGGCATCTAAAGTTATGCTCGACGTTCTTTCATAATATAAAAAGCATCTATGATGGAATTTACATCAAAATCTCGAGCAATGTCTTTGTCAACATAGGTTAACAAGTAGCTTAAAAGAAAATCATCATCGATCTTGTTGCGCAATCTAGTCTTTACAATTTTCATGACTGAAAATGCACATTCTATTGTCGCTGTAGAAATTGAAGAAAATGCACCATTGACCACGAATATTTTGTACGTTCTGCAAGTTTTTTTCCAAGCTTTCATATCATTTACACAGAGAGGAAGAGAGGGAGAGAGAGAGAGAGAGTAAAGTGGAGAAGGGGGTTTAAACAATTAGGTTAATAAAAATTTGGAGACATTTTCAAGTGTGGGGCAGGTTACACGTGAGTAGTATTTTTTTTTTTATTTAGTTATAACCAAACAATTAAAAAATTTGGGCCCTAATTAGACAAAAAAGACTTTAACATATTAACAAATAAATTCTCAATTATTTTAATATTACTAAATTTAAAATAAAAAGTTATTATACTTCAAAAATAAATTATTATGATTATTATTTTTAGTATTTATCAAAAAAATAATTAAATTTTTAAATTTTAAAGTAGAAAATTTAGGGGGGTGGCGGTTCTTAAATTTTTTGCAAAAACTTTGGGGTGGCGAACCTATATAATTTAAAAATATTTGTAATTTTAATCCTATATCTAGGGGTTTTTTCAAAACTTTAGGGGGGTAGTCGCCCCTGCCAGCCCCCCCCTCTCGGTCCATTCCTGATCACACCAATGGACTCTAGAACACACAAACAAAACCCGATAAACAAAACACAAACAGAAATCCGACCTCAATTCCAAACACCAGATCCGAGGAGGCCGGTTCAATAAGATGGAAGATCCGATGATAAGTAGCAGATCTGGAGTTAGTGTGGTGGTAGCCGCGCCGATGTGAAGCAGAAAATGAAAGAGATGGTGGATTTGGTGAAGGCTTTGGTTAGGTAAGGCATAGGGGAAAAAGAGATAAGAAACAAATTGAAAATCCACCAAAAGGGGAAAAAAAAACACCTCACATGAACGGAGAAGATGGGAAAGCAAAGCTTCCAAAACTTATTGAACCAAAAATGGTAGAAGATAAGGAAGGAAAACATGGGGTAGAAAGGAGGAGAGAGGCGGCCGGATGCCGAAGCCCCTTCTCCCCCACGCCTATCGGCGCTCAGAAAGTGAAACCCTAGAAGAAGAAAAGAGTTAGAGAGAGAAGCTCTCTAAAGTAGAGAGAGAGCGTTTTTGTATTTACTGGGGTTTAAGCTTACAGACTAAGCTTGTAAAAGGCTATATATAATGGGAGAGGTTTCTTTCCGATCTATATTTGTTGGGCCTCCGTGGGCAAAGTCCGCATCAATAATTCAGACCATTTATTGTATACAACTTGTTAAATATTTCATTCTTATAAAAAATTACGTTGATCAGATATTGATAATTATTTAATTAGATTACATTTTTGTCAACAATAAATATAATTTAAAAAAAAAAATTGTTGGCACAAATATGATCTAATTAAGTAGCTATCAATATCCAATCAACATGATTTTTGCAGGGATGATATACTTGACAAGCTTTACATATTTA